GAAAGTTTTGCTGGCTAAGTATAGAGCATTCCAAGAACATTTTATACATTTACGTAGTGTATTTGTTACTATTTATAATACCTGATGTTACCAAGGGTCTGACAACTTAACTGAAGTTATAAAGATATAAGTATTAGTTGCACAATATCATATCCCATTGTTAAAAGCACGAGAAAAATGCTTGATCATTTCTCTCCCAACTTAGTTGGTTTTGCATTTCTAGTTGCTTTGTTGACTGACACCTGGATTTGGTCCAGTGCCTGAAAGTAGTGGAGTTAGAATGTAGAGGTTTAGGGAGGGTTTGGTTTTGTTTTTTGCTAGGATGAGATAGGAGTTTGTGTCAGTCAGCATGTGATACTCTTTACTTTTAAGTGTTCAAATGTATTTTAAGAAATAATAGTAGATGTTTATATTTTTTGATGGCATTAATTGGGAGCTGTTTTGGTGATCTTTGCAGTAACACAGTTTCTCAGTTGACTAGTGTGTAGTAAAATGACAAGTTCTCTTTGAGTCTCGGAGATCAGTTTAAATAGGTAAGGAAATCCTGCCTTTCCAAATTTACGTGTCTGAGAAGGGCTTTGGTGGTATGGATGGAAGCCCAAAAAGAAAATAAAGTATATGTAAAGCTATGAGGTCAAAGAAGGAATTCCAATAAGTGACTTTAGTTAGAATGAGATGAGGAATGGGCTGTACTTGGATAAATCATCTAGCAGAGTGCTTTTGCACACGATAGGACGGAGTAAAGTTTACACTTTTGCTTTTTCTTTCTGCCTACCTCTTGAATATTCCTAAGAGCTCTGGTCCTTTTCTCTCCTACATACTCTCTCCCTGAGTAATCCATTTCCTTCCATGGTTTTCTTCCCATGCATATTCTGATCCCTACAGCTTGATATTTATAGCTGTGACGTATAGCTCTGATGTATATTGCCTTTTGCGATGCCCTCCTTGATGTTCCCTCAGGTACCTTGCCCTCAACCTGTGTGAAACTAAACTCATCTTCCCCATATATTGAATTTGAGGTACTCAAGGGACATTGTCATGAATTTCTGCTTTTGTATTAATGCCATTGTTACCTACCTGGTTACTTAAGCCAGAAACCCAGAAATCATTGTTGATTCTTTCTTCTCTCTCACTCCCACATCAGAATGGTCACAGTGTATTTCAGTAACATCTAAACACGTTTAAAAATTTTCCCGTCCTTTCTAGTCTTTCCTTCATTTGGCACCTGGACTATTGCTTTAGACTCCAGTCTGGTCCTTCTGGTCTTCTTGCTCCTCTACTAGCCATTCCCACACTGTTCCCACAGTGACTTGTCTACAGTGTAAACAATGATAGTCTGTCTTACTTAAAATACTTGAATGACTTCTCTTTGCCATATAGCCATAAGCTCTGACATTAACATGGTTTATAAGGGCTATGTAATAGAGTTTGTACTTTCTAGAATCACCTGGCATTTCTCTCTCCATGTACTTCTCCCTCTGAACAGCTAAATGACTTCTTCTCCGAGCTGTCTATTCTCTGTCCTGTTAGAAGCTAAACACCTGTTCAGCTTCAACTTTATTTTTCCGAAACTCCCTCCCTGTCTTTGAAGACAACTCAAGTGTTACCTCTTCTTTGATTTTTTTGCATTTTATACTTTTTTTGGTTACTTGTTTGTTATTTAATTGCAGTTAGAAATTACATTGTGTTATATTTTGTTCGTAGTTGTTTACGTGCCTTTCTTCTTTTAGACCTTAACCTTTTAAGGTAGGGCATGTGGCTTATTTTAGAGTAACTATGAACCTAATAGTTGTTAGCAAAGAATAGGTATTTTAAAAATATATTGAATCATGCAGAAATTTGTAACTCTTAAATATTTTTAAGCGATTATAGGAATAAAGCAGAACTTAAAAATGGTAGTGGCCTTAGCATGTTGCTTTGAATGTTTAGAACTTATTACCATAAGAAGGTTGAAAATGGATCCCTTATTAAAGTTAATTATGAATTTCACTCAAATTAACCACTCTCTCCTTTTAAAAAAATGAAGAAGCACCTAAACTTAATTTCTGACAAAAAGATTTCCAGTAGATGGCATTATGAGACTATTTTTCTTACCATCCATTTTGCTGATTGAATTAAAATTTGTTTCTTTTTGGTTGCTATGGTTCGTAA